TATTCCTGTTCCAACTGCCTAGTCCACTGCTGATGGGGGAAGTCCTTCTGTATATATGTTTGTCTTATTGGTTGATAAATAAATCACTATTGGCCCATAGGAAAGCAAGATAGGTGGGGCTATGAGTCGAGGAGGATTCTGGGAAATGTAGTAAAGACAGGAGTTGCCATGTTATCGCCAGGAAGAGAGGACGCATGCCACCAGCATCATCAGTAAGATAAGTCCTTATAAAATATATAGATTAGTAGTTATAGTTGATCATTAAGACTGAGCTAGCATATGAGAAATCCTAGTCATTGGCCAGCAGCATTGTACCTAATATTAATCTCTGTGTGTTATTTTGGGGGTCCTAACATGGCAACGGAACTCAGGTGGCTGGTGGAAAGAGTTATCCTTACACTCTGTAGTACTAGGCCCTAGGAAAATACTGCCAAAGCCAGTCCAGCACACCAAGGCTCAGGGGCCTCACCTTCAGGACCTGGACCCTCAGTTAAGCTTGTCAGCTGCCATTGTCTCTTGAGCACATGCCAACCATCATGTCTGACAACTCCTGTACCAGAAATCTTGATCCAGAAGTTTAGTGATGGAGTTAAAGCTGCTTCTAATCATCTTTGAAGCCCATCTCTGAAGCTCTTATCTCTATATCCCACAGGGGTATCCACAGTTCACCAACTGCTCTCACCAGTTCTACAAGGGACCTGCTCTGACTCATATATGAGATGAATGTCCAGAGTGATTTTTCCACCTACTTGAGTGTCCAGTCCTCAGCTGAGCTCTGGTCCCATTCGGCATAATGAAGTCAAGAGCTAGGTACTTGGGACAGAATCTGTTAAGGGATGAAGTTCAACAGGCAGGGTAGGACAGGGTGAAACATGTCAGGACAGAGTCAGACAGGACAAGGCCAGGCAAGGTAGGGTACCTGGGATAGGGTCCCAGAAGACTCCAGCTGTGGGACAGATGCTAGAAGACCAACTCATCCCTGGCCAGTAGGCCCAACCCTGACCATCTCAATGTACAGATCCAGGCTCTTTCCAGGGTACATGTCTGCAACACTGTAATGGCTAATCCTGGTTATCAACTTGACACACTTGGAAAGATAAAACCTCAGTTAAGGTGTTGATGCAATTATTGCCTGTATGTATTGTATATACTTATTGTAGTTGTATATAGTTTTCCTTATGTTAGCTGTATTTTCTTTTTGTATTAGACAAAAAGGGTAATTGTGGTGATTTGTTAAAGCGTGCCTGAGGATTCAGAAAGCAAAGTTAGTCACAAGCCATAGAAGCCAGGCACACACCTTTAATCCTGGGATTCAGGATTAAGAAGTAGATGGATCTCTGTTAGTGTAAGACCACACTGACTGCACGAAATGGATCCAGTGCTAAGAGAAACAGCTCACACAAAGATGATCCCAGCACTTGGTGTCACAGGCCTCTAATCCCAGCACTAGAGAAGTATAAAAGGTAGGATCAGGGTCTTCAGTTGGCTCAGTCTCAGGATTCTCTCCAGCCACACTGAGGAGAGGCACAAGTCTGAGACTTGATGAAGATCTCGTGCATAAATCAGCCCTTTCAGCCTGAGCTAGAGGTGAGAGCTTGAAGCTTGAGCCTCAGTATCAGCCTCTGGGTCTTTTAAGTTTTGCACCACATTAAGGAGTTGCCTGCATCAAATCGGCCTATGGGCACATCTGTGGGCCTTTTTCTTGACTGATAACTATTGTAAGAAGACCACGCCCGCTGTGGGTGGTGCCATCCTTAGGCAGCTGGGCCTGGACTGCATAAGAGACATAGCTGAGCAAGCCAGAGGGGCAAGCCAAATAAGCAACATTGCCCCATGGTCTTTGCTTCATCTCTGCCTGTGTTTCTGCCCTGACTTCCCTCAGTGATGTACCACAAACTATAAGATGAAATAAACCCTTTCTTTCCCCATGTTGCTTTTGGTTGTGATGTCTATCATAGCAACAGAGAAGCAAGCTAGAACACCTATGTATTTTTCCTGTTATGTGTCCATAGTAGGTAGGGCAGAGAGCTTCAGACCCAGACCATGAATACCGTAGAAGAGGCACACAGAAAGCAGAAGTATAGATAGGTGGATTTATTGTATGACATCAATTCACAGTAGCTCTGCACAGCTGAGAGATGACAGGAAGATCAAGAGCTTCCTTCTGGAATACCAAATCCTGTCACACTGCAGCCTAAAAGGCATTTTGTACCACAGGAGGGGACTAAGACCCAGGCAGGCAATAGTGCCTGTAGCTTAGCTAGACCTCTGCAGTGAGTGAGGAGGAAAGCCTAAGAGTACCCAAACTGTGGGCTGGGAAGTCCATAGTACTCACCTTCTACTCCCCTGCCATTAACTGAGGAACTACAGCAGGCACAGGTGGAGCCAGGAGACAGCCCTACCCCTCCTTCTTTCAAGGACCACCTAAGATAGACCAAAGAGGACAGAGACTCTGGGAAGGGATGGGACTTGAAGATCCAAGGTCTAGAACTCCTCCACACAGCAGGACCCCAGCCAAGAGAACAAGAAAGGCTGGCCCTCTCTTGGCCTCCACTCTTGAGCAGGGACCCTCTAGAATATGGTCTACTCTCTGTCCTGCTCACCCCACATTCCCATTTCCCCAGGTCACCATGTCAGACGCCAACTTTCCTGTTTACCCACCCCACCTGTGTCCCAGGTCCCCAGGCCACAGTCACCTCCCTTTCTGACTGCCCCACACCATCTGTGTCCCCCAGGTCCTTACTTACCAGAGGCTTATGCCTAGCTTGGGGCTATAAACCTCCATGACCCCTATACACCCGCTGCTGACCTGTAGGACCCAGCTCCGAACAAACTCACATAGGTAAATATAGACTCTTCCCTATCTTGACTTCTCTGACACCTCCAGGGTCAGGAGAAGTCCACTGGCAAAAAACAAAAAAAAAAATTAAAAACAAAAAACCTTTCTCTTGGAGCACTGAACTGCTGTCCTGTACCACCCAAGACAGCTAAGACCCCTTGCTGAGAGCCAGAAGCTCTGGTGGAGACCAGGAGGGGACACATCCTCCCTGGGCATGGGTGTCACAGCACCAGCAATGCCACCCCTTAGGACCATTGGGAAGACACTTTAGACTTTAATTTAGGTCACTTTCCTATTGTACAAATGGAACTAGAAAGTGAAGAACAGCCTGAGTGCCTGACAGGCAACCAAGTGCATTGCAGAGGTACCCAGTCGTGGATCAAGTACCTCTGGGGAACTGCCAGGGAGGGGCACTGCCCCCCAGCACCATCACAGACCTTTCCCCGTGAATGATAAAAGCAACTCAAATACAGATGAGTGAGAGATGAAGGTGGTCCTACCTCACGCCTGCTCTTACTTTAAAGAGAAGGAAAGCCCCCACGGATTCCAGAACTTTAGCAATTATTTTGAGAAAAATCAATGGTCCTTGACCAAGAGTTTGGGGCTGTTTGGGGCTCAGGATATCCATACTCTGTGGCTAGTGTGAGGTTTGAGTGTCAGGGTCCCTGTGGTCTGTGCCTGGGGCAAGGTTTTGGCTGAGCAAAGAACCACAGTGCTAACTGGGACCACAGTGACTTGCAGTTCAACAAAAACCTTCTGTTTGGAGCTTCCCAGGAACAGCCAGAGAGCTTGAGAAAGCTGAGGGAGAAAAGAGTGGGTCTGAGAAGAAGGGTAACTTTCTGGAAGGCAGGGGACAATTCGGAGGGAGAGAGAGTTACTATGGACAGGTCGTGGGCTCCTAGATGGGGAAAGCATGGAAAAACACAGACAGCAGAAGTGTGCAGTGCCCTGCCAAGGACTAATGAGAGTATCCCAGGCCAGAGCTAGGCAGGTGGGGGTTGCTAAGAGCACAGAGTAGGTGTGGCTTCCTCACTCCTTCCTTTGTTCCTTCTTCTCTTCCCTCTTTACAGGGTCTCACTATGCTAGCCCGATCCAGCCTGAAAGATACCAGCCTACAAGCATGACCCACCCAGCTGAGCTAGGGTGAAGAATCCTCCAAACAGCTAAGTTGCTGGGCCTTAGAGCCTCCCCTGTACCCCCTCCCAGGACCACAAGTGACTTTGGGTTGGGTTTTTTAAGGCCCTGGATATAGGGCTACCTCACTGTGCCTACGCTTACTTTGATGTCTGGGGCCAGGGGACCCTGGTCACCGTCTCCTCAGGTAAGTAACTCATCTGGGAACTGTGGGACACCAAGTCAGGCTGTGGTGAGGGTTTTAGTATAGGGACAGAGGCAGAACAGAGGCTGTGCTACTGGTACTTCGATCTCTGGGGCCAGGGGACCCCGGTCACCGTCTCCTCAGGTAAGATCTCTGTTGGCTCCCACCTCCTCTGACTGGCCTCCAGCCAAGTCTCTTGGCTCTCTAGATGGTCTGTGTCAGTTCCAATAGGGGGGTCAGGTTTTTGTTTGGACAGCAGTAGGGACTGTGCCCCTGTGCAATGCTTTTGGTATTTGGGGCCAAGGGACCCTGGTCACCGTCTCCTCAGGTAAGCTGGCTTTCCTTCTGCATCCTCCACTCCAAATCTGGGAAAGATATTCCTAGGTGTCCCCAGTTTGGGCCATCGGCAGACGCTGCATAGTGCAGAAGTTGTTGTGTAAGGATGGAGTCTTGGCTCCCAGAATAAGAGGCAGGCGGCAGAGGCTGCAACCTGCAGGGGAGGGAAAGCCATAGGAAACAGACTTTTTTGTTGTTTGGCTGGGTGG